TATTAGATGAGACTGTGGTGTAACCTGAGTTAAAGCAGGGAAAACAATTAGAGTAGTAGTCTAGGTAAGAGATGTGGTGGAAATGAAGAGGTATAGTCATACTTGTAGGAAGAGTCAACAAAATAGTTATCTTCTGAAAGTTTCTGTTTACTGAGGAACTTACCATGTTGCCTTTTTATTTATATTTATTTTTAAAAATATGTTTTTGATTTCAGAAAGAGAAAAGGAGAGAGAGACAGAAATATTAATGATAAGAATTTCCATCAACTGCCTTCTGCATACCCCCTACTGGGATCAAGCCCACAATCCGGGCATGTGCCCTGACCAGGAATCAAACTTTGACCTCCTGGTTTATAGGTCAACGCTCAATCTCTGACCCACACCCACCGGGCACCACATTGCCTTTTTTAAATAAGATGAAACAAAAAAAGTACTGGATTTGAGAATCAAAGAATAGTATGTTAAACTTAGTTATGTCTCTTACCAACTTAGAGAGCTAAGGATATCACTTAAATTCTCTGGCCTCAGATGTCTTATCAATAAAATAAAAATATTATCACTTTTCTTGCCTTCCTTATCAGACTGTTATGAAGGTCAAATGGGATATCTTACAGATTAAGCTCTGTAATTTACCCATTCTCTTTGTAAAACACAGATTGACATATTGAATGCTTGAAACTAGTCAGTTACAATACTCACACTCCCCTGCTCCTAGCCTAATTAGGTGTGGGTCAGTTAACTATAGAGATGAATAGATATAGATATAGACATATAGACATATAGACATATAGATATATAGATATATAGATATAGAGATATAGAGATATAGAGATATAGAGACATCGAGATAGAGATACATGGGTGGGGTCTGGCCAGCCCTAAGGGGTAGAGCCAGAAATCTTTCTCTTAGACAGTCGAGAACCCCTGTTCTGTTAGGTAATGAGCACCCTAACGATGATAAGGAAACAAAATATTATTTGCTTCTCAAAGAGCTTTTAGTATAATGACAGTAACAAATAAAATTTTGAACCATAACAAGGTGCTAAATTCACTCTACAGGTATATGCCAGGAGCTATAGGAAAACAGAAGGGAAAAAACTAACTCTATCTAGGAAAGTAATTGTCTGAACTGGTTTCATGAAAGTGGTGTTTGAACCATGAAGTAAAGGGTAACTGGGACTTCTCCAATTATACTCAAGTTGGAAGAGATATTCTAGTCAGAAGCAGAAGATTGAGAAAAGGCATTGAGATATGAGAAAATATGGTGCTTTCAGGAAATACAATATGCTTAGGGAATCAAGGAAATGAGGATGGAAAAATAAACAGGATTCCCTTCTGTGTGAAGATACACAGATAAAGTTAAGTAATTAGAATTTTATTGTATAAAACAATAGTGTCAAACTGTGTTTCATAGAATTCAAATTCATAAAAGGCAGTTCATGCATTTCACAAATATCTGAATAACATGGGCATGTTTGGTTTTCTGATCTTGAACCAAAATTTCTTCTACCATTTTTGTGTGTGTGTGTTTTAACATTCTATAGATGTGACAGTAGCAGTAGCTTTATATTTTTATTTTTTTAAGGCTAGTAAATGTCCTACTACCTGCGTATGGATAATATTACACAAGAACCAATAATAATAATAATATAATATAGATTATACTAGAGGTCCAGTGCATGAATTCATGCATGGGTGGGGTCTGGCCAGCCTGCCCTGATGGGAGCCCATCAGTTGAGCCAGCTGGTGGGAGGGGCCGCGGGTCATTGGCCGGCCGGCCCCGCCCCCGATCAGGGTGTTGGGGGCTGATCAGGGGCCAGGCTGGCCAGGGGGGGAGAGGGGCTGATTGGGGCCCGGATCAGGCTGGTTGGCTGCCACAGTGAGCGTCATAGCCACCAGTCATTCTGGTCGTTCTGGTCATTCTGCTGTTCTGGTCACTGGGCTTTTATATAGAGAGAGATAATTTATTACTATTTACTTTTAAATGTGTGCCAATTAACTACCGTATTTATTTAATAAATGTTATTTACTGGGGTTTCACATAAGACTTGTCACTGCTCTTGGGAAACCAACACAATTTTTATTAGAGAAATGACATAATTAACATTATAATTCAGAAATAACCTGTACAATAACAAAATGAATTAGAATAGGGTAAAACAAGAGGTGAGAAGATCAGTTAGAAAGTGATTTCAAGAAACCAAGGAAGAAAAATTATGGGATGACAAGTACTAGAGATGGTGAAGCAGAATAGATAGGATTTAACAACTAATCAGATAATAGAAAGGAGAATGGTTTGCAAAAAAAGCAGATTCTAGATTTATACTTTAATTTTGACCACGTTGAAAAGGTAGAAGTACCCAGAAAGTTCCAACTGTTTAGTACTCAGAGTGTCCTTTGCACATTTAATCAGTGAGTCCAAATGAAGTCCCCATTTTAGTCAAAGTTCTAATTTTGGAATTTCCTTAATCTGTTTTTATATATATTTATTATAGTCCAAATAACGTAAAGCACAATCATATAACAAGTTTGTATAATTAATTATATTCCTATCCAAAGATGTCATAGTACTTTCGTCAGTTAGTAAGATTTCAATACTATTAGTGTTAACTTACATAGCTATCGATCCTTTATAATTTCTTTTAAAATTGTTATCTAATATTATTTAATCCCACTGGTGATAGTCATTCCACTAAGAAGGTGACTTTAAAACTTTAACAATATAAAATGCATCACCTTTTCCAATTTATACATTGCCTTCACCTAATTGTCTCCTTTCATCTTCCTTATAACCTTCTTTTTTTTTAATATATTTTATTGATTTTTTTACAGAGAGAAAGGGAGAGGGATAGAGAGTTTAGAAACATCGATGAGAGCGAAACATCGATCAGCTGTCTCCTGCACACCTCCTACTGGGGATGTGCCCGCAACCAAGGTACATGCCCTTGACCGGAATCGAACCTGGGACCTTTCAGTCTGCAGGCCGACGCTCTATTCACTGAGCCAAACCGGTTTGGCGCTTATAACCTTCTTAAGAGAGAAGAGCCGAAGTGCATATTACCATATTACAGGTGAGAAAATCAAGGCTCAAGGCAGATAAATGTCTTCTGCAAGGTTATACGGCTGGGCCCTAACTGGTTTGGCTCAGTAGATAGGCCTCGGGACTGTAAAGGTCCCTGATTCAATTCCTGCCAAGGGCACATGCCTGGTTGTGGGCTCAATCCCCAGTAGGGGGTGTGCAGGAGGCAACCAATCAATGATTCTCTCTCATCATTGGTATTTCTCTCTCTCTCCCTCTCCCTCTCCCTTCCTCTCTGAAATCAATAAAAATATATATTTTTAAAAAGATTATAGCCCTAACCAGCTTGGCTTAGTGGACAGAGCGTCGGCCTGTGGACTCAAGGGTCCCAGGTTCGATTCTGATCAAGGGCATGTACCTTGGTTGTGGGCACATACCCAGTGGGGAATGTGCAGGAGGCAGCTGATTGATGTTTCTCTCTCATTGATGTTTCTAATTCTCTATCCCTCTCCCTTCCGCTCTGTAAAAAATCAATAAAATATATTTTAAAAAATAAAAAATAAAACAGATTACACAGCTGGCAAACGGCAGAGCATTACATAAAATATACAAGGTATACAAAATTTTGTACACAGTATAGACTATAATTAAATCAGTTTATTTAATCTAATTATAAATATACTCCCTTTTATGTAAACTAATTTACAACATTTTAATAACTATAGATTTAATGTTTTATAACAATGCTACTGGGAACGGAGACTAACACAGTAATTGAAATTTATCTCTTTTACACAATTTTTTTATTACAAAACTAATTTTAATAATTTTAAAAGATTTTGTAGAAGTACAAAAAATTTAATACTCAATTTCTGTGACTTCAAAATTTGCTGTTTCTGCCCTGGCCAGGTGGTTCCATTGGTTGAAGCATTGTCCTGCACACTAAAAGGTAGCAGGTTCGATTTCCAGTCAGTGCCTATACAGAAGGCAACTAATTTCACACATCAATGTTTCTCTCTCTCTCACTCTCCCCCTCTCTCTAAAATCAATAAAACAAAAACAAAGTGTATCTTTGGGTGAGGATTTTAAAAATTTACTGTTTCTTCTTATGTATTCAAACACACTTATAAAACTATATTCATGTAAATCATGTGAGTAACGTAATAGCTTTTTTATTACACATGCCATATCCTAGGACACCCCAAAAAAAGGAAAATAAAAATTATGTCACTTTGTTTCAGAAAATATAACAATACCTCTCTATAATCACAATGCTCCTTTTGTAAGTTCTCATCTCTCCCCATCAGAAACTCTCTTGTGATTGTTCATTAGAAGTTCAACATTAAAGTATATTTACCAAAAATATTTCCCTACTAAACCAAAACACAGGCTACTTTTGAGTTCTTCTAAGTATTAAAAGTTCCTACAGTTATTAAGCCCCGGGCATTTGTTAATTTGTTTAGAGTTTAAGACTCTGGGGTGTTTTTATTCAGATTTTAAACAATGAATTTAAAACAATGCCATAGATTTTTATAATAGATGTATTCACCTAGCTATTATCTAATTAGCTCTAACATCATCTTAATAGCATTATTCATTTTACTGAACAGTGAAATAAAATAACAATTAATTTACCTGAATAATATCACAGGACTATTTGGAATAACGATTTTTTCCTTCAATTTACAACTTCCACACAAATATTACATTAAAAATGTTCTCCACTAGTGGGCCTTAACATTAGCTTGCAAATTCTACTTTTTATGTTTGCTTATTTCCCCCTTAAACTAACATTGTGCGGGGTTTTTAAGTTGATTCCTGGAATACCTTTATTAAATCAAACTGACCTATCCACACAGTTCTCTGTACCAGACTCTGATGCTGGCATCTCAACAATTTCCAGTTGTGTGTGTGTGTAACACTCCCTTCCTCACACGGTAAAATACAGAAATAACGGGCTTTAAGCCAATTCAAAACTTACCTTGCAAATCTGGAAATACTCCGAGGTCAGGGACTCCTGAATCTCTTCTCGGAGAAGCCCCGCGGGCCCTCCCGAGTGCGGGGCGCCGCTGCCGGCCCCACCGCCACTGTTACTGCTGCCGCTGCTCCCACTGCCAGGGGAGGAGGCAGTGAAGCCGTCCAAAACTTTTCGGAAATTAAACTTCTTCATTTTAAAAAAAACTGCTGAGAAATTCAAAGGGGGGGAAAAAGGTGACTTAACTCATGGAATTATACCCAGGTAAAAGCGTTTAGCTTTTCATTCGTCAAGGCAGCAGCTAGTACCCGTTTTACTACAATTGTCTCTAAAGGACTTAAAAAAAAAAAGTCAGGCTACATATTACCACATTTTTATTCTAAAAAGCCTATCTTTCCAAATAAAAACCACAACTCCAAAAGCAACAGCATCTCCTCCCCATACATCGAATGTTTCAAGGGCTTCACCCCCAGCTGTGGCCATGCTTTCTCAGCACTGGGGTAAAAATAAAAGGCGGTGTCATCATCGTCATTAGCATTATATCATCATTATTATACAATCACACCGGGGTCCCACACACCGGGTCTCCGTCTCGCTCTCGGGGCGGGCTTTCCAACTAAGGGTGCAGCTCGGAATATTTCAGGTTCAGAAAAATGATGCTGGGGGGGGGGGAGGGGGGCGGGGAGGAGGAGGGACTGGGAGCCGGTACACCAGCTTCTGGGCTGTCCCCTCGTCGTCTTCAATCCTCCCCCTTTTCAATAGGAAATGGGGTGAGGGTGCTTTTTCCATCCCCCACCTGCTGGCTGTAAATTCTGTATCCAGGGACACTAACCTTCAGGAGTAAAGGAGAAACAAAGATATTCTCAGGTGAAGGAAAACTAAAAGAATGTGTCACTAGTAGACCTCTCCTTAGACACTGGTTGGAGGAAGTTCTTCAAAGGAAATGATAAAAGAAGAAAACTTAGAGCTTTTGGAAGGAAGAGAGAACAGGAGGAGCAGTAATATGGGTACAAAATAGACTATTCATGACTTTTACCCGTCGCGCAGACATTCTCGCGCGGGCGCCCACGCTCCCAGACGCACACACAGGTGTGAGGGAGCCGCGCTGGACGGCGGCGGCGTCCGCGCCCCAGAGGGAGGACTATCTGACCCCCGACTTCAGCACCTTCCTCCGCCGCCACGAGCTGCCTGCCAGCCGGGAGGCTCCGGGCGCGGAGGGAGGCGGGCTCGCAGGCTTC